ACGTTACTGGCATTCCCGACGCAACCACAACACAACCACCCGAACCTCCAATAGGTAAAGCAGGTGGCCCATGTCCTGCAGCTACAAGTGTTTTCAAAATACGTCCAAGAGATCCAAAGGCAAGGGCCACACACCCCACTACAAAGGAGGCAAAAACCCCACAGTCTGAACCTGTCTGACCAGGGGTAAAATTTCTTTCTGATCCCAAATGTGACATCAAGCTGACCCTCAGCATAAGGACAAGACCCTCTAGCCAGGAACCTCCAGGTTTAAGTCCCAGCAGGAGCATCAGCACAGCCCTCTCACAGCCCCAGCCCTGGGCTTTCCACGGATTCCTTTTGGAAATCTCTGGGGTGCTTTTGTGAGACGTATGTAAGTGTTTGCACACTTAACAGTGCTAATATTACATAGTGTTTCATGGCAACCTATATTGATCTTCTGGCAACCCAAGATACTGTGGCACCCTGGTTGAGGCTTCGCTCCCCAGCCCTTCATAATTTTCTCTCTCTCTCTCTCTCCTAGTCTCTCCAACAAGTTTTGGGGTCCTTTTCCAGATATGGACACCATGACTAGAAGTAACCTAGCATATCACAACCAGCCTTGTCCAGAAAGGAAATCACCTCAATCTACATCCCATAAAAAACTGTTGACAGTACAAAAAATGACAGAGTAGCAGAGAATGGAGAGGACAGGGCAGTCATGTTCGCAGATTGGGATGGATGAGGCTGGCGGGAGGTGGCACGGTTGGTTGCTTCTTTGTTTCCATGCTTTTCTTTCTGGCAAAACCACAGCTTCAGCTGCATCAGAAAACTGTTGAGAAACAATATTCTTAGACATCTGTAGGCCTGAGTGACTCAAATCCTTGTGACGTTCTCATTACCAAAAGTAGCACCTTTCACAATTGATTTTACGTGCTGGAAATGGGCTAAAATTATTTAATTCAGTTTTCAGCCAGTTTATCTAAGGGGCCCTGGAGGGATAATATCTGAGCCCAAGGTTGCTCACAATTGTTGTCCATTATTTCAAAGAAAATGTGAAAAAATGTTAATTGATTTCCTGATCTGTATTTCCAATTGCTTCCCCCTGAGTTGAGCCCAGTCACTGATATTTAGCCAAGAACCCTTCCAGAATGATTCTGTCTTGGATGTGGAGACACTGTGCAATGGAGGATGCACTGAATGGGTTAGGAGAGCATCCCCAGTCATTAATACCCCACACAGTTAAAAAATGTGGAGCTTATTTGAACTCACCTCTCTCCCTTTCACAGCCGTGGGCTTTTGTTTTGCCTTTATAAAGCCCCTTAGCACCCACCACAGCACCCTTTAGGTTGCATATGCTGAATGCAGTTTTCAGTCTCCCATCTCCTAAACAAGGCAGATTAAGTTCTTTAAGTCTGTGCCTTGAAGGCCTATTTCTCCACCCTTTGTATAATGTTTCTATCCTCCCTCTACTCTTGCTAAGAATATTCCAAGGTGCTTTTCCAAATGTGGAGACCAGAACTGCATGCAGCATTCCCATATAGTAGCCAGCCTTGTCCAGAGAGGGAAATCACCCAAGTGAAGACTTAGGCATGCAGGATTTGGGAGTCAGGGGCCTGACAACACATGAGGAGTGTTGAGAACCTTGAATCGGAGTCTCAGAAGCCAGCAGGCTGGTCAGGGAGCCGCCATAGCCCAGTAATAGGAAACCTTGAAGCAAGGAGCAATACTGTCAGGGTGATGTTGTAATCTTGATGGTCCAAGAAAAATGAGAGGCAAATGTGTGTGACATCTTTTATTTGACCAATTCTGTCATCAAGCCTGCCCCTGTCAGGCAGAATTTTGATTCTCTCCTTTGAGTCCTAACTATCCATTTAGCCATCCATCCACAGATAGGTTCACATAACCCCCTCTACCAGTCTATCTATCTACCCTCCTAACCCTTCCCATCTTTCTTTCTTCCTTCTAGAGTGATCAAGATAACAATAGGTCAGGATATATCCTAACAAAATTAATGAATAAGTTGTAATCTGAAACAATCCATAAGCCAGTATTTCTCAACGATAGTACCAGACAACATTTGCACTGTTAGTTGTGTAAACACCCACATGTGATTCACAAGATAAACCCAGAGATTTCCAAGAGAAATCCAGTGTGGAAACCATTTTGACCTCCTGTGATCTTTCTGAATTTTTTTGCAACAAAAATATTGCTCTCATATTTTTCCATAGTCAAGAAATGAGTGAAAGGTAATATCTGCTAGCCTTTTTAAAGGGATTCCTTGTGTGTAACAGGGGTGCTTTGAGGCTGACAAGGGGATCCTTGACTTTAAAAAGGTTTAAAAACCACTAACATAAACAACTGATGCCACAATTAATGCCAATCAATATATTTTTGTAGGAAACAAGGCTTGCCAAACAGCTTGTTCTCTCTGTAACTCTCTGTGTTTTGCATGACCTTCTGATTTAAAAAAGCAGCAACATGCAAAGTTGATGTGACTGCTATCACCCAAGCTAAGAATTTTATATTTCTTAATTTTTCAGAAGTATGGTCAAGGAAAATGTAGAGACATTCATGTAAGGCCAAAATAAGCACCAGTTCCCACCCCAGAGTTGAGCATAATAACACATGCTTAGATAAAGCATCTTCCAGAAAGGTTCTGGTTATGATTTGAAATGGAGAATTCACCAAATGGTTTGGGAGTGCTTCTTAATCCTTAATAAGCCTCATGGTTAAATATGAAAACTTCTCCTTCATATTCATTTCTCTCTAATTCCTAGCCTTTGGCTCTTCTAATTTTACTTATTGAATTAAAAAGCCCCCTAACACCCAACCTAGCACCTGTCAGGCTGCTTATACACTGTGATCAAACCATTTTTCAGTCTCCTTTCTCATGAACTACACAGAGCAAGCTCTGTATGTCTATGCCTCTAAACCAGTGTTTCTCAAACTTGCTAGAGTCAAAGCACCCCTCATTAAAATCAAGGACCCCCTTAGAAAAGCTTTCACTCATTTTTTGACTATAGAAAAATGCTAGAGAAAGCCTTGTGTTTCAAAGAACTCAGGCAGACTCTAAGTTCAAATGCTTATCATCAAATCATAGAGAAGTAGGGTTGAAAGGGACTGCCAGAGCTCATCTAATCCAACCCCCAGCCCGAGGCAGGATCACCTTTATCCATACCATCCTAAATAAACCCTGACACAATCACAACAAACCACCCAAACCTGCAACAGGTGAAGCAGGGAGCCTAGATCCTGATGCTAGAAGGCTTGCTAAAATACAGTCAAGAGATCCAAGGAAGAGGGCCCCACACTAGAGGACAGCAATAAAAAAACCCCAAGCCCTGTACCAATCTGACCATGGGGTAAAACTCCATCTTAATCCCAAATGTGGCATCAGTCTGACCCTGAGCAGGGGCCAAGACCCTCTAGCCAGGAACCTCTGGGTTTTGAGTCTCAGTTTTGAGTCTGTGTTGTACCCCATATTGTTCAAATGAACCTGGCAACCCCTACCTATCCTGATCCTGTTTAATGACTGCTGCTCTCCCCAGTTCATGAAAAGGATTCTGGAGAGTTTTTGGAGAAAGTTAGAAGTGTGCTACAGAAAGTTATCTAGAGGCTAGAAAATATTACCTTAAAGCTGCATATATAAAGATCTTGATCTGTCCGGTTGATATGTGAGGGGAATGAACATTGGCTTAGTCTGTAGAAGCATATGCTAAGGGACTTTCCAACCCAACATAGGAAAGTAGAACAAGAATTAAAGGCTTTGAATTAAAGATAGACAAGTTCAAGAGAGAAGTAAGGCCCACGCTTTTAATCATAAAGGGGATAAATGATCGGAACGAAATCCCAAGCCAACTGGCAGACTCTCCATCTCTTGATGTCACCCAATCCTCACCAGAGCCGCTCTGGAAGGTGTCTAACCTAAACACCTGTTTATTTGGCTCAACTCAGGGAAACTGCTTAAACTATTTTTCTTAATAGCAATGAATGTTTTTACATTTCCTTTGAAGTAACTGACATAAAATTTGACAAGTTTGGGGCTGAAAACAAATCCCTCCAGAAAAGCTTTCTGGAAAAAATATGTATGTATATTAATTTTGTATTAAGCCAGTGATTCTCAGCCAGGGTGCCATGGTGCCCTGGGATAATGTGACCTGCTTGTACGGGTCCCATGAGTTGCAACACAATATTAGCACTGTTAGATGTGCAAACACCTATGTATGATTCACAAGATAAATGCAAGGTTTTCAAATAGGACTCCAGCGTGTCAAAAACATGTTGACTTGCTGTGCCATTTCTGAGTTCATTGCAATGTAAGGATTATTCTATTATTTTTTCTATAATCAAAAACAGGTGAAAGCTGAGAGCTGGCATTTTCTGAGGGGTGCCTTGAGTCTAATGAGAGGTGTCTCGAGTTTAACGAGGGGTTACTTGTGTCTAAAAAGATTGAGAACCATGCATTAAACAATTCTTAACCCATCTGATATGAGCTACTTTGCTTTTTGCATAATGTTGCCTTTTTTAATCAGAGGGTCATGCAGAACTGAGTCAAGCAGGTCTACAGAAGTCTAAGAATAGCATGTCAAAACAGTTTCCTTATTTGGACAAACTTGTGATTTTGCCAGGAAAAAAACAGGTCTATTTGACAATCCTTATCTTACAGAAAAATATGTTGATTGGTATTGATTGCATCTGTTTAATTCCCTACTGATGGCATCTCACTTCAGCCTGTTCATGTTTTGATGTTAACTCTTGGCCTGGGTTATCTTGAAAGACTTTAGACTTTTAAGAGGCATTTATTCCAGGGGGGATGACAAATCGGGGCCAGTAGAAATTATGTACAGGTTGGCCCGAAGATCTGGGCCTCATGGACAAGGCCTGGGCTCATAGCCTGCAAGGCCTGCCTGTACACTCTAGACAACAAACAAAGCGCAAAGAACAAAAGGAGTATTTACATATAACAGTTCAGTCAATGCGGACGCCCAGGGGGCCTCAGGGAAGCAGGGGTCGGCCCGCATGAACAAAGTCCAAGGTCTCGGCCTGCTGGATGCGCCTCCGCACCTTGAGCAGCTGGTCATGTCACAGGGCAAGGAGCAGGCATCCCGCCTCGACTTGGCACAGTGCCCCCTTGAAGGCCCAGCATTCCTCAAAGGTGGGCACCATCCTCCAGAGGACCGCATGCTCGAATTCAAGTGAGAGGTAGGCCTGTACGAGCAGGCAGAAAACCTGTAGGGTATCGTCCATCCCAGTCCCGGTGAGCTGGTTTCACCAGTTCTTCCGGGTGGCCATCTTGGCTTGGCCCACCGAGAAGCTGGTCAAGCTGACTGCACCCCGCTTGGCCACCCGGTACGAGAAAGAACAGATGTATGTGTCCTCTGAAAAGTCCCGGCCCAGTATCCAAAGCTGTGCCCCAAGGGTGGTAAAGAGTGGCTACAGCCAGGAGTAGTTGAGGAATGCATGGTAAATGCTCTCTTCCAGAACCCCTGGGCAGAAGGGGCAGGCTACTGAGGCCACCAAGTCCAGGTGGTGCACAAAAGTACCAGTGGCCAGGATGCCGTGCACCAATCTCCACTGGAGGTCACTGGTCTTCTTGGCGGTGGGCGTCTTGTAGAGCATGCACCATGCTAGGGTCCCGGGCAATGCCAAGCACTGCCACCACATGGTAAAGAAAGAAAGAAAGAAGTTGAGGAGCAGGAGGGAGGAATAGATAGATAGATAGATAGATAGATAGATAGATAGATAGATAGATGAGAGAAGGTATAAGAAAGGAAGCATGGGTATATGGGAAGGGGGGTCTGGGATGAACAGAGAGATGGACAGATGAAAGGATGAACATAATGTTTAGTTATGGATGGATGGAGAGGTGTTTATGGGTGTTTGGGTGTTTAGAGATGGATGGGTAGGTGGATGGACGGATGGATGGATGGGCCAACTGACTGACTGACCAACAGACCCTTGGCTAGTTTCTGAGCCACAATGGCCCACGTTGCTCCCTCGAGTGGCTAATCTATGGGGTCCAGACTCTGTGTACCCTATTTCTGACACCCTCTTTCTCTCCCATCAGCCCCTCCTTGACCCCAAACCTGGCTCCTTCCTGCCTTCTCCTCTTCCTCCTCCCTGCTGTGCAGATCCCCTCCCTCTGCCCCCCTCAGCCAGCATCCACCTGGCCCCTGCACCTGCCTCTCCTGATTTCGCACCTCCTAGCCTGGCCTGAAAGAGCAGGCAGGGACAGGAACTGAAAGAAGCTAAATGGGGAGGCGGGGGCTGCAGGGGAAATTCCCTCACTTGTTTGTCAGCTGCTGCTGCCTGCTGGCCTGCACACAGGCTATTTCCATCACCAGCCCTCAGCTATCTATCTATCTATCTATCTATCCCATACGACCTATCTCTGTATCTATCAATCCATCCATCCCCATATTACCCCTCTATCTGTCTGTCTCACTGTCTTTCTATCTATACATCCATACATCCACACAGAACACCTCTATTGTCTATCTATTCATCTAGCCAACTATCCATCCTCCCCCACATGACACTTCTATCTATCTATCTATCTATCTATCTATCTATCCCCTTCCTCACATGACCTTTGTATGTATTTATGTATCTAACCCTACATAACCCCTTTATCTATCTATCAGGCTGTCTGTCTATCTGTCTCCATATAGTCCTTCTTCTCCCCACCCCTAATCCAATCACCCAGCTTTATAGAGGGACCTGGTCATTTGGGCTGGGAAATTCAGAAGTGGGTGAACATAATTCTGGGCCTGTCACTACCTTGTTGCCATTGGCTATAGAAGCTGGTATGCTTTAGCCACATGGGGCTGGTGAACCACTGACCTACCTATAGCTCTGTCCCCAGCCACATCCTCCCACTCAGTGAGCTACTTATTGTCTACATTCCCTTTACCTACCTACCTACCGACTGAGCTATCTACCTATTAGTCCCCACAGACAACCTTCAGTCACTCGTTCACAAGCCCACTGACCTGGCTTTTTGTTTCCTGCTCTCCCTTTCTCCCACCCTTTCACACGCAAAACCCTGATTCCAGCTCCCAACCCCATAATCTCTCACCACTCAACCCTACTCCCCAACCAGAGGCAGAAAAAGGATCTAGGGCTCTGATTCATAGATTCATAGATGCTAGGGTTGGAAGGGACCTCAACAGATCATCACACAGTGAACACAGTGGCAGGAAAAAGTGCTGGGGTCATGTGACCCCAGCCAGGTGCTTATCCAGTCTCCTCTTGAAGACCCCCAAGGTAGGGGAGAGCACCACCTCCCTTAGAAGCCTGTTCCAGATTCTGGCAACCCTAACGCTGAAGAAGCTCTTTCTGATGTCCAACCTAAACCTGCTGTCCATCAGCTGTGGCTGTTGTTTCTGGTTATTGCAAGGGCTGCCCTGGTAAACAGAGCATCTCCTATTCCCTGCTGTCCCCACTGGTGAATTTGTATACTGCCACATGATCCCCCTTCAGCCTTCTCTTGATATACTGAGTTAAAGCAAAGGGAAATGGAAATGAGGACTCCCAAGTTCTCTCTCCAGCCCTGGAAGGGAGGAGGGTCTAGTTGTTTAGAGATGGTGGGGCTGGAAGCCCAGATTCCTGGGTTTTATCTTCAGCCCTGGAGAGGAGTAGGGTCTAAGTGGTTGAAGCCTGGGAGCCAGGACTCCTAGGAACCAGGACTGGGAGTCTTTGAGAGCCAGGACTCCTAGGTTTTTTCTCTGCCTCTGGGAAAGCAGTGGTGTCTCTTGGGTTAGAACCAGGGTTCAGTGGGAACACAGTCAGGTCTCCTGGGGGGTTTTGGCTCTGTGGAAAAGGAGCACAGTCTAGTGGGTTAGGCAGAAAGGGCTGAGAGTCAGGACTCCTGGGTTCTCTCCCCAGGTCTTGGAGACCTCTACCAGGAGCTTTTGAGAAGGGTGGAAGAAGATCCTCCAGGCACCTGAGGACAGAACCCAGGTGCCCTGATCCTGCTCTCCCTACTCAAACCCACTAGATTCCCACTGATTTCTTAGGAAACAGAGAGAACGCAGGGGCCCTGGCTCTCAGCCCCATCCCTGCCCTTGCTCTGACCCACAAAATGTCCCCAGCCAGAGAAAGACCCCAGGTGTCCCAGTCCCAGCCTTCCCTACTGCAACCCACTAAATCATGCCCCACTCCCCAGAGATAGATGCCCCCCCACACACACACACATCTAACCCAACAGGACTCCATGAATTGCAACCCTGCATCCTCATACATCCAAACCCAGGCCCTCTAAACATAATTGCCTGAAAATATCATCTGATTCCCGCCCCCATCTCAGTTCCCTTTTCTCTCTGAGTCTGTGCTGCTGCTTGCTTCTCAGCCTAAGGTATGTCACCCCACTCCACACACACACACACCCTGTCTGACAAGCAGAGACAGACCTGGACAGAGAGGTACAGGCTCAGATAAACTGATACAGGCCCAGATATGTGGGCAAACCTTGCTTCATCCCAACTTTGGTGGGTGCAGGTCATGTTGGGGGGTTGTTGCCAGTGACCCACTGGCCTAGGAACCTCTCCTGTGAGGTGGGAAGGGTCCTACATCCATGGAGGTCCAGGTGGTGGGGCCAGTTCACAAACAAGGCTCCCTCTGCCAGCACCAGGACAGAAGCAAAGGCAAGTTGGGTCCATATAAGGCAACCTGTTCCCACAACCAGAGAGGGATGACACTGGTCATGGGGGTGACACCAGATTCTGGGGTTCAGTTTTTTTCTACCCCCTAGCAGGCACCTTGGATGACACAACCCAAGTGTCCTGACTCCCAGCCCCACTCACCACCCCACAAATCTTCATTCCTTCCTCAGAGACAAAACCCAGGAGTCCTGGACACAGTTCTCCCCCAACCCTCTAGCTCATTAGAGCCCCGTGATTTCCCAGGGACAGACTGACAGCCAGACTCAGCCACACTCCAATCCCAAAACATGGTGCTTGAAAGGGGCATCTTTCCCCTTTGGGTCTGAGAACCCGGATTTGGGGTCTGGTTGGGTTTTACCAGCGGGAGCTAGAAACTGGTCTTTCTCTGAGGCAGCTGTGTGTATGTACAACGAATGTAGAAACAGAGAAGTAGGGCTGGAAGAGGCCTTCAGAAGTCATCTAGTCCATGCTCCCAGACTGATGGAGGCACCAAGTCAACCAGCACAGAGCTGCCAGGCTCCCCTAACCGCTGCCTAGACTACACATGATCGGGTTTTCTCAATGCTGTGCACATGGCTGGAGTTTCACTTTCTCTCTGAATATGGGTTACTGCTCTCAGAGATGGGATCTGTGCCTTACCCCTTGGGCAAAGAGCAGGATGAGAAGAGAAATGTGAGGATGGCTGAAAAGAAGGACAGGGGTAGGGGTGATGGAGGAATTGGAGAAACAAGGTATGGATAACTGAAAGGTCTAGGATGGAGGAGCTCCCATTTTACCCCTCCACCTCCCCTGCTCCCCTCCTTCTACCCCCAGTCACCTCCAGGCTTCTCTTACGATTCTGCTGCCCCTCATAGGCCTTGGGTGCCCCCCATGGCCTGTCTGGCCCCTCATCAGAACCACAGACTAGAAGCCATGTTGTGTGCGGGCCTTTCTGATGTTGCCTTCAAAAGGGGCTGGGGTGCATTCATGCACACACATGCATGCAGGTCCCAGGTGCACGTGGGCTGAGGAACCACCATCTTGCCAGCATCAATCCAGTCCTCAGTCAAGGGAGAGGGTGGCCATTTCGGGGAAGGTGGAGGTGGTCAATGGGAGTCTACCCCGGCGTTCCAACAGGCCGCAAAGGGACACACAAACAGGTACAGGCCTAGACAGATGTACAGTTTGGCTCCAATGGGCAGAGAGGCTGTAGGGCAAAGGCAACTGTCCTGCAGAAGCAGCCTCATGATCAGGTGTAGGCAACAGTGGCCATTTTGAACAAGGGAAAATCAATCATGTGTGCCTCAAAGCTGAGGCTGGCCCAGACAGACAGACAGACAGACTATGGTGGGTTTAAGAAGTCTGGAACAGGCCCATGGCAATGGGCAGACCCCAGCGCCTTCTGAGTCCTAGCACTGAGCTCTGGGGCTGGGGCGGGTGTTGAGGTTGGGCAGGGAGGACGGCAGGACCCGGGGGCTCGATCCCGACTGTGGGAGGGCACTGGGGCCTGGGTGGTGCGAACGGGGCGCTCCTGGGAGCCTGAACGCCTGGGTTCTGTAGTGCCGATCCTGTCACTGGAGTGGGACAGGGCTGTTCCCTGCTCGTCTTCTGCCCCCGTATGGCCACGTCTCAACATAGCCCCAAATGACGGAGTCCCCTGAGCCCATCAGCTGTTCTCACTTCCCCATGGCCTGCACAGCTCCCTGGAGTGGAGGGGGTGCCCTTGGGACCAGGGGCAGAGCTGGGGAGGGCAGAGCCTGGGAACCCACATGCCTGGGTCCTCTCCCAGGTCTGGGAAGGCAGTGGAGTCTGGTAGGTTCAAGTATTGGAGGCTGTGAGCCCGGACGCCCGGGTTCCCTCCCAGCTCTCAGAGGTCGGGGGGCTCGTGTCAGCGCTGGGGTGCAGAAACCCGGACGCCTGGATTGGCGCTGGTCCCTGGTCCTCTGCTGCCTCCTGTGGCCATATCCCCACATGGCCTCACGAACAGCTGAGTCTCACGTGTGCCCTGAAGCCCCGGGTCCCTCGAGCCCAGCGGCTGCGGTCATTTCCCCATCCGCAACATGGTCCCCACGGGGAGAGCCGTGGCCCTGGAAGAAGCGTGGCCTGGGAGCCCGGACACCTGGGTTCTCTCCGAGCCCAAGGACATGAATGAGGCCTGATGGCTTACAGCCCTGGCTGGGAACCAGGACACCTGGGTTTTCTATTCAGCTTGAAAAGCTACAGGGGTCCACAGGAGTCGGACTGCACGGCTGGTGGGGCTAGGAGCCCGGCTCCTGGGTGCTTATCCAGGCCGATGGTAGGAGGCCTGAGTTCTCCTGCTGCTGGGTACAGGGCTGGGATTTACTGGGTTAGAGCTGGTGGGAGCCCAGACACCTGGGTTCTCCCCAGCTCTGAGCGGTCAGGAGGGCTCACATACAGCAACTTGGACGCCTGGGTTTTGGGGCCCCAAGCCATCTGTGGGGGTTGCTCCTCTGCTGCCCCCGTGCGGCCACATCCCCATAAACAGCCAAGTCCCCTGTGCGCCCAGCTGCGGTCACTTCTCCACAACTGACACGGTCCCTGGGGGGAGGCCGTGCGCCCCTGGGGTACGTGCGGGGCTGGGAGCGCAGGCACCTGGGTTCTTCTCTCCCAGCCCTGGGAGGAGAAGGGGAGCCTGGTGGGATACAGCACCGGAGGCTGGGAGCCCGGACACCTGGGTCCTGTCGCTGCTCTGCATCTCCTGGGTTAGCACCACGCGGAGCCCAAATGGCCAGGGTCCCTCCCCGCTCTCAGAGGCTGGGGGGGGCTCCTGTGCCACGCCGATCCCATCTGCGGAGGGGGTGTCGGGGCTGGTCCCTGCTCCTCTGTTGCCCCCGTGCGGCCACATCCCCACGCAGGCCCACGAGCAGCCAAGTCCCAAACCGCGGGTCCCCTGAGCCCAGCAGCGCAGTCACTTCTGCGCCCGCAGCGCAGTCCCTGGGGGGAGGCTGCGCCCCAGCAGCGTGTGGGCTGGCGGCCGGGCACCTGGGCTCTCTCCCAGCTGGGCCTGGGAGTCAGAGCAGGGCGGACACCTGGCTCCCCCCCCAGCCAAGGGACAAGGGGCGAGGCCTGGTGGGTTACAGCGCTGGAGGCCAGGAGCCGGGACATCGGGGTCTCTGCCCTGCTTGAAAGGCCTTTGGGGTCCCGAGCACTGTACAGCAGGCCGGGCCGTGAGCCGGACTCGGGGCTCCCTCCCGGCCCGGGACAGGAGTGGGGGCTGGAGGGGGGAGAAGGGCGGGCTCTGGTGGGATCCTGGGCTCGCTGCAGCCCCGGGACAGGCGCCGCCGCAGGTCTCATGGGCTGCAGCGCTCGGAGCCGACAGGCAGGAACCGGGTTGCGTGCCTGCTGCCCCAGTAGCACCGTGCCGGGTGGGGCTGGGAGCCGGGACGCCTGGGTCCCATCCCCTTCTGGCGGGCACCGGGGCCTGGCGGGCTGCGGGTCACACCCGGGCGGGGCGCTCGGACTCACACCGGGGTCCCATCCGCGCGCCTCTGCCGCCACCTCGTGGCCCTTTGTAGCCATCTCCGCGCACACGCTGACCGATATAAACATGGCCGCCGTGGCTACATTTCGCCCGCTTCTATAGCCGGCTGACAGATGCGCATGCGCTGGCTATGACGTTTCCAAACCTCGCCAGGCGCGGCAATATGACGAAACTTGCCTTCATCCTGTATGGCGATTATCCTGCCTCTCAAAGGGGTGTTGCCCTCACTCAATATGGCGTCGGGCCATACAGCTTAAGGTCATGGTCCCAATATAGCGGCGGCGGGACGCCCTGGTGACCGCGCATGCCTGACCGTGCGCCGGGTTCCCGAGGCCTGGCGCCCTCCAGCGGCAGGTGCGGGTGACGTCATGGGGGGTCACGACCCCTGGGCAGTCGGGGGGAACACACGGGTCACGCGGTTTGGGGAGTCCGTGACACCCAACGAAGTCCGACATGGCCGGGGGGGCGCAGTGCGGTCGCCCCCTGAGAAGAGTGACTTCAGCGCAGGTCAAGAGTTGTGATGTCTGGGGTGGGGGGGGGTTCCTCGGTGACGTCATTACAGCTCCAGGTGACGTCATGTGTTCAAGTTTGGGAGAGCCAAGCCAGGGACTGCGACCCCAGCCCAGTGATGCACCAGAGCAAACTCCCTCAACGCCCTTGGGTGTATCCCATCCAGCCCCATGGACTTGTACACGTCCATCTTTTCTAAATAATCCCTAACCTGTTCTTTCAGCGCTGAGGGCTGCTCACCTCCTCCCCAAACTCTGCTGCCAGGTGCAATAGTCTGGGAGCTGACCTTGCCTGTGAAGGCTGAGGCAGAAAAGGCATTGGGCACTTCAGCTCTTTCTGCATCCTCTGTCACAAGATTTCCTCCCCGGTTCAGTAAAGGGCCCACACTTTCCCTGATCCTCCTTTTGCTGCTGACATACTTGTAGAAACCCTTCTCGTTACCCTTCACGTCCTTTGCTAGCTGAAATGCTAGTTGTGCTTTGGCCTCCCTGACTTCATCCCTGAATGCCCAAGCAATGCTCTTATATTCTTCCCTAGTTATTTGTCCAAGTTTCCACTTCTTACAAGCTTCCTTTTTGTGATTTAGTTTACTAAAGAGTTCCCTGCTAAGTCAAGCTGATCTTCTGCCATACTTGCTAGTCTTCCTGCACATCGGGATGGCTTGGTCCTGCACTGCACAATTTGTTCTTTGCTATGTTGAGCAAGGAAACTGCCCGTTTCCTCGAGGTGGGAAAGGGGCAGGGGTGCAGTGGCCATTTTTGGTGAGGGCACCATGCCTGTTTGGGGTGGGGTGGGGGAAGCCATTTTGAGTAAGGGCATTACCAGGTTGCCCAGGAAAGGGTGGCCACTTTGACTAAGAGCACTGCCCAGCTCCACACCAGCAATGGCCACTGATGACAACATGCAGGCACAGGGCCCCCTTCACACTTGTACTTTGAGGGTCTTCACCCTCCCACGAGGGAGAGGTCACTTCCTGAGGGCCGCCAAGGGGATGCATTATCTCCTCTCTCTCATGCCTTTCATCTCCTGTCCCCACCAGGACCTCAGCACCAGATGTTTACACACAATCCTTTGAAGCCCCAAGAAAGCCAGCCTGGCAGTAACACCCCCACCAAATGCCGAAGGAGCCACTGGCAGGACCCCCCAGTGCCAGCGAAGAGGATGAGGATCCCCCACGTGGGACACCAGGCTCAGGGGGGCGGGGGAGGTCAGGGCTGGGCCATGGCAATAAAAGACCTACAGTGCCCCTGCTGTTGCCACCAGCCTCTGCTTGACCAGGGGGAGCAATTCAGGCTGCGGGGCCTGGGGGCTGGTTGTGGGAGCCCAGAGGCCCAAGTTCGCAAGGAGCAGGGTGGAGAGCTGGGTGGCAGGAGGCGAGAGCCTGGACACCTGGGTTCTCGGCCAGCTCTGGTGGGTGCAAAAGCAGAAAGCCACTCAGCGGCTGCTCGGGTCTGGGTATGGGTCGGAGGAGGGGACACCGGGGTTGGTAAGCGGGGGAGATAGAAGCTGCCTTCTCAGGTGACCCCCAAAACAGACATACGTGTCGTGTTGTCCCCTCCAGGCAGTGGAAAGACCTGAATGACCCCAGTTGAGGGGTGTGGGGTGGTGTCACGTTACTGGGAGTGCCCAGGACACAGAGCCAGGGGCTGGAGTGCCATGTTCATTGGTGGTCTGGGAGCCAGGAGGGGAGTCCATGGCCGGAGAGTGAGGGCATGGTGATGCGGGAGAGGAGCACCATCCCCCCAGGTCCTGCTCCATCACTTGGTCTTGGGCCCATCATCCTTGACGTCCATCACAGTCACAACAGCATGACAGCCGCTGGAGCGGTAGGACACAGGTGGTGGGGATGGAGGAGTGAGGACCACAGGAGAAGGAGCTGCAGCCAGTTCCAGCCCCAGAGCATCATGGGGGTTTCCCCTGGCCCAGGGGCACCTGGCTGCCCGCTCTGTGCCAGGACCTGGTGCAGGTGAGTTCAGGGCGGTCAGCAGGTCTAGCGGGCAGTGACAGGAGCCCGGCCCCATGGGCCTGCAGCCCTGCACCTCCCTAGACACCTGGGTCCTCCCGCCGGGCGCTGCGGGTCACACCCGGGCGGGACGCTCAGACTCATGCCTGGGTCCCATCCGCGCGCCTCTGCCGCCACCTTGTGGCCCTTTGTAGCGATGTCGGGGCTTCCGCTGCCCGGCACAAACATGGCCGCCGTGGCTACATTTCTCCCGCTTTTCCAATGACTGCCGCCAGTTTGAGCAAGCGGGCTTCTTGCCCTCACTCAACATGCCTCCCCCGCGAAACGCCGGAAGGGACGTTTTCAAACCTCGCCGGGCGTGGGCTTATGACGAACCTTGCATTCATGGTTCGCCCACTCAGAAGCACGCTGCCCTTACTCAATATGGCGTCTGGCCAACATATTAAGGTCATCGTGCCATTATTCAATATGGTGCCTGCAACTTCGGACGAGCGTCG